ATGCCATCGCCACCACCACCAACACCACCATCAACACTGCCACCATTACCACCACCTTCGCTACCACCTTCGCATTCACCTTCGCCTTCACATTCTTCTTCATCACCACATAATATGTCAGACCCACATAATATTTCAGACAATATAGCTTGTGTAGTTGTGGGATCTTCATTGGGTGGTGTTTTTTTATCAGTTGGAAGTTTCTTGATATATAAATGGAAAAAAAATAAACAAAAAACTATTCATGAAAACGATAATAATAATGATTACAGTCAAGAAGAAAAGGAGTTTCCTATCGTAAGGGATATTCATAATTATGAACAAGATATCAATAATAATGAGCAAGAAACTATTCAAATTGATCAAATACCTAGAAATGAAAGTACGTCCAATTATCCAATAATAATTCCACCTCCAATAATTAATAAGAATAACTATCATAAGCAAGAAATTATTCTAACACCCGAAAATGAAAATACAACCAACCATGAACTAATAATAATTCCAGTCAATGATCATCATGGGCAAGAAATTATGCAAACGCTTCAAAATGAAAATACTAGTGATCACGAACCAACAATTCCAGCTCCTGCAATTGTTAATACTAATAATTATAATTATGGGCAAGAAGTAATTTCAACACCTAATAATAATAGGATATCATCACAAATTTTAAAAGATGAAATTCTTCAAGCTGTTAAAAATGAAATTGGTCAAAATTTAAAAAATGAACTCCTTCAAGCTGTTAAAAATGAAATTGGCCAAAATTTAAATAATCTTAACATCACAAGAAACAATACAAACCAAGATTAATTAATAATCAATTATTAACTTATGATAAAAATGAAAAAAAGTTCTATATATATGTAAAGTCTTCGATTATTATGTAATAACAATACAGTACTTCTCGTCTCTACCAAAAAAAGGAAATTCACTCCATTCTTTTTTAAATTATTTTATATAAAAAAGAATTTTTGTACTGAAAAATTTTATTATAACTTAGGACAAATTGATAGTTCGGTTAGTTCCTAATTTTTAACGCTATGTACTATGTCTCTAATAGTTTTAATTATTTTCTTCAAAAAATAAAGTTTCGTTATCAATAATATCTATTCTTGTGTTAAATTGCTAAGATAAGTTAGAGATTATTAGAAAGAAAATAATAATATGTACTATGAATATGCCTGATTATTTGTATAGAAAACAAATAGAAATTAAAATTACCGGTAAAATACTGGTAAAATTTCGACCTTAATTCTTTTAACGTTAACTTTCGATTTTACTTTGTAAAAATTATATTAGCAATTATGAAATATATCTGAAACTCGACTTTAAGGAAATTTGACATAGTTGCATGGTATTAAAAGGAACTTCGTCTCACATTATTTAATTACAGAAAGATTAACGAGCAATATTAAATACATGTATGCAGAAATAATCTCATTATAAAATCACGAATTAATGTCAATCTGTAGAAGACGATTTCTATCTCGCATACAGTTACACTCTCTTTTTGGGGTTCACTCCAACCAATAATTTATTATAATATCGCATTTTTAGTAGTATGATATTATATGCAAATTAAATTTAAGCCAAAGCTAGTATCCAAATCCGCGATCTATTATTTCTATTGACTCACGAAATTAAAAGAAAAAATGCTTTATTTGGATCTCGAATCATCAATCACGATAGTACATTTTGTTCCATAAAACGGTTTATGATGTTTTTAATTCAAATCTTGAGAATTAAGCTAATCAATGGCAAATGATGCGCCACTCCGAATCCTATATAAAAATCTGTAGCACATGGTGCAGAGAATAAAAAAAGCAACCCCTAATTTTCAGTTTAATAAAAATTTTTTTTAAAGTTTAGTGGATAAACTTAATATCCAGATATTAGTAATCCTACTACTTCAAATTTTAATTATGTAATAAAAAATTTATTTTTAATGTTTATTTACTGAAATTTCCTTAAATGATATAGATTTTAAAAAATCCCCAAAACAGTAATTCGCAATTACCCCTAAAAAACAAATAAAAGCACTACGAAAAGATATTTCATTATTTTGTATTACCCATTAAAAACCCTCCTAAAAGAGGACCCGTTCACATTACCGACAATCATATTACTGACAATCATTTTACCGACACTCATTTTACCATCAACACTTACAGTATTTATTACTATTTCACTACCCACTTCAGTATGAAAATTATAATACATATTTAGTATAAAAGAATTTACCATAATATATTATATATAAATAAAAAATTGATTAATATATAACAAATGTAAAATACTACGATATTCATATATAATAAAATAACTTGAATTTTATCAATTTTATTTTTTAAAAAATTTATTTCAGCTTCATAATATATTGTACTTAGAATTGTTCTTAAAAATTTTCTTAATTTAGTTTATATAATTTGCTTTTTTTGTAACTAATTGAATATAATAATGTACTGTATATTATTTCAATTAATAAAAAATTATATTATTATTTGTCGGTAAAATGATTGTCGGTAATATGATTGTCGGTAATGTGAACCAGACCCCTAAAAGAACTGATTCCTACACTATTTAATTTATTATTAATTATAACTTATGTAATTGCAAGCAAGACTCTCATAGGCGAAAAAATTCATAATTTCAAGAAATATTTATTGGAATTTTTCATTGCATGTTAACACGCCCTGTAAAAATTTTATACATTTACATTTTTTAATAGGACGATATTACACTGCATATTATTATTTGGGTTTAAGCGTTGATCACAAGCTTTACTATTAAATCGTAACAATTATTTTCAGACTTCTGTTTTTTGAGACTTACCATACTAAGTTACGATTTGTCACATCGAAGATTGTTAATAGGCAAACGCTTCTGGCACCCTTTACAATAGTTAAATTCACTAGTTATATATTCCATTTTATTTTTGTATAAGAGTTTTTTTATAAGTTTACATTAAGTATAATGCAATTTAAGTGTCAAAAGACGCGTTGTATAATATATATACAGTATATATATATCAGTTAAGTGATAAACTAGGGAAACGGTAAACCATTACGTAGTCCGGAGCTTAGGTAGATAACCACATGCTCAATTAACCGATCGAGATAATTTCATGTAATATAAGAACCAATTAAACGTTGACTCAAAGAACAAGCGGACGGACAATGGGATATTTTGTACCACCACGGCTAGAACATATAGAGTCCTTTGCTACGCTCCGGACTAATAACACGACGGGCCAAACACGTGATTCAGAGTGGGCGAGATGCTATTGTATGGTTCACACCGTTTATGTTTCACACGGCTAAATATCACCATACTCTACTTACCACGCCGACCTGACCATACTCCTTTCTGTAATACCAGCGAGCCTTTGTCACACATTACAGATATACGTTCAATTCACATAATTCGAAATTGTTATCTTCAATTCCTAATTTATAACCTGTTTAATGATGAACCTCGAATATAATACAACCTCATAAATCATTCCTGAGATTTCGTTCCTTTAAACTATTTACCTAATTTTTAACATATTGTATAATGAATTATAAATATTATGAAAATTTATACTTATTTGATTTATGTGAAATTAATTATATATTGTAAAATTATCTCGAAGTTTTTCCATGAGTTTGAGTCTAAACAATATGAGATTTTATGATTACATACTTTTTAATGTAATAAATAAATTTATTTAAACAATAAAAAATTTATTAAGACTGGAAATTTTAATGTTTAATTATATCTTAATGTTATATAACAAGTCTAAAATTTAAGTAATTTATATAAAATCATACTGCAAAAAGTAAAAAGGTTTTACTTTTCCCGTAAAAAAAATATCCGTTAATTTGTCAAACAAATTAAAAATTTCTCAATTTTACAGAAAAAAACTTGGAAACTAGAAAATGAAGTTGGGCCTGTGGCTGTGCGAGAATTATCTGGTCACCTTGATCATCTTTTTGTGTATAAAGAATGACTCTCTCAAGAAGCAGGAGGCGTACTCAAGAAAAAGAAAACTCTTCTACCGATTCCATGTAAATTTATTGTAAATATTTTTGTATTTAAAACTTCATTTAAAACTTCATTTTTATATATTATATATTAGAATAAATATTAATGTATAATATATGATACCAAAAAAATTTTGCACTAATAATAATAAATACTTTTCAAATAAAGTCGTCCAGGTCCATTTCATTTTTCATTGTGTGAACTGTTTTCATCATTCATAATAAAAAAAAATCAAATTTTCCCTTTTTTATCGACAACAATTATAATAGGGGGATTTAACCCCTCCTATATGTAACACAACGATTTTCATCACATGAATATTTCCTTAAAAGTATTCTATTAAATTCAATCGTAAATTGTATAAATTCAATTGATGTATAGTATCCCCCACTTTTTTTCTTCCATTTCTTTTGATTATACTATTTAAACAATCTAATTTTACCCAGGCGACACATTTAAATATTTTTTTAATATACTACAAGTTTTTAAAACCCTTCATTTATAAATAAAAAATTTCGTACACAGCGTCAACCGACCCAGGTACTATGGCCCGTGATATACGGTATTTTTATTAATTCAGTTAAATTTAATTTAATTTTGCATAAAATTTTCTTTGATTCTTACTTTTTTTCCTCTATTCAAAACAATTATTAATTGATATATAAGACTTATAATTAAAAAAAATAATAATTTATGTTTGTTAGGTTTAATCTTAAAATAAAAGATCTTAAATTTTTTTTTTTTTGAGATGTGAAAGGGTAAGTAATAGATAAATTTGTATTCGGATGGTTGTACATTTGCCGTTTGAATTAACCATGAGTATTTTTTATAGGACGCCAATGAATTTGAAATATCCGAGCTTTGTCGTTAAACGGATTTTGCTATCTAAATTAAATATACGGATTTACGAAATTTGAATAAGATTTCGAATGATGCGAAGGAACGATATCGATATCGAAATGTAAATACTACTAAAGCGCGCGAATGGTAGGAACTAAGTATAATTATTTAATAAGTGAACAATTTTAAGGAAAACTAGCTCCATTAAAGAATTGGTTTTCGAATGAATTAATGTTATTTATGTTTTGTGTTGGTAATTGTCTAATTTGTCTAATAATAGGATTTAATCTAAATGTATTGCTTCTTAGTTGTCGTTGGATTCGTCGTTTACGATATGATGATGAGTTATCGGTGTCATTAATGGAATAAGTGACTGATGGTTGGTCCATCTTTTTCTTTTTTATAATTTTATTTATTTATTGATTTATTTTTTTTTTTTTGATATATAGAAATTCTATATTACTTTGAAAACGATAAATAACAAAGCAGAAAAACATTCGTTATTGAACATTTAAATCTTTTAGAATATCTCAACCTACTTCCTCGATGAATAACAATTTATAACTATTTATTGTCGCACGAACTGGGTCGATTTGTGCATACCATTATTAGAATGATCGGAATATTTAACCACAAAGACCATAAATCGGAAATATTTCTGTGCAAAGAACATTCCAGAATACATAACAGATTATTAATAAAGAAAAAGGTATTGTAATAAAATTATTTATCATAATGTAAAAATATAGTAGTATGCTGTATAACTTTAAAAAATATAATGAAGAGATTCTTTTTTATATTATACACGATTAGATACTATTACTTATACTGTACTGTAAAGTATTCATTATTTTTTCTCGATTTCCAGGTAAAAATGGTTGAAATAATTAAAATTACAATCATTTCACATGTTAATGATGGATTTTTTTATAATCAATCATGAATTGATGAAAGAATCTCCCCTTTAAATGAAATGTTATATTTGTGTAAAAAGGATTAATTGGAATAAAAATCAGTATATATTTCATGTGAGTGAGTTCTGAGATTTTATAGAAATAAATTTTAATTTCCCTACTTGGATATTAAGGAGACATGACGTGCGTGGCGTGCGATTAAACGTTACACATTACTTTTCTTATTTGCAATCATTGCTAGAATTCCTGTACTTTGATTACATCAAATTTATTGATATCCTTAATGAACTTAAATAATATATTATGTATCTAATTTATAAATGTAAAATAATAATGGCAGTGACATATATTATCTATAGTATTAGTTTCATAAGGAAGCGCCCCAGATAAGATTTTTTTGATGACCAATAATATTCAATTTTTAATTTCGACCAATAAGAATGCTTAATTTTGTATCACGGGATGATTGTAAAATCTCAACATCCTTTTCTTGAGATATGTATTATAATCCTCCAAATTAAAAGCATCATCATTATTTAAATAATTTCCTAAAAGAGAGTTAAATGAAACCTATTAATAATTAGTAATAATAATTAATTGCGTTTCTTTGTGTAAATCCCATTTTCGTGAATTTAGCTCTTATTGATAACTATATCAGATATATATCGTTATTTCTTTTACGCAAATTATTATCAGCTGAAAGCCTGAAACAAAAAGCAGAGACCAAGTTCTTTTTGTCCATTCTTTCTTTTCTTTACCTTCTCAATCTTTATCATACAGCAGTATTAACTTTATTACTTTTTTGGGTTAATTCATAAACATTTGCATCTTTTACCGCAGTTTATTAACAACAATAAAAGCAAAATGGCGTAGATTTCGGTTCAATCCCGAAATGATCTTCCAAAAAAGGCTTACATTACGAGAAATTTGAATTCCGAGGGAAGAAATTATCTTAAAATGCTACAGTATTCCTTTCAATTCCAAATTAGATTTTTATTAATTGATATTTTTTTTTTAAACTTTAAAGAACTTTAACTATAAATAGGATCGCAACAACTTCTAATAAAAGCTCCAGAATCAGAACACAGCGTATACTATATATATACAGTAAATATATTAATTTACTATAAATACCGTGTAAACCAACTTATTTTTAAAACATCACTTTATAAATGATGTAACCTGATTACTAATTTTTAGAAAAATTCATTATTATTTATGGGAAGATACAATAGTAATTATGCAATTTTACATACAGTATATGGTATGATTTTTACAAAATGGAATATCAGATATCATGTTTTTGCAATTATAGTTGTTTGTGTATACGAAACGTTAAATTTTACCCGATTATGACAATGCCCAATCTTAGACAAATATTATATACTGTATAAACATAAATTTGAGAATTCTCAAGAGAATTAAAAATATTAATTCATTTAAGATTAATTAAATTTATTAAATTTCTGGCATGTATAAAATCTACTACTGTAAATATGCCGAGATATTTCGGAAAATCTGACAAAATTTGAATGTACATTGAATGGATATACTGAAAAAGTATCTATAGTTTGGAAACAAATTTTACTACAAGGACGTTATTTATTTTATGAAATAGATAAATATAAACAATACTCAAAAGAATACTATAAGAAATAAAATAACTTATAAATTAGGTTCAACTAAAAGTTATTAATATTGAATGAATCATTAAAATCCAAAAGTATTTGAAGACGGGTTTGGCAATAATATTCGATCTTAAGTTTTTGTTGGAACAGATTTGCTCTTTCAAAACTTCTAAAAGAAAAAATTTTTTTCTAATCAATTAATACAATAAATGTAAAAAAACGTGATTATTTTTTAAGAAATTTAAGGAAAGAAAATATTGACAAATATATTTATATAGAGTCGTCCCCCCATATAGTCACCCCCTGTATAATCACAACTCCCTTATAAGCACATTTACATTAATCCCAAGTTACTATTATTAAAAAAACCTTCCCTTTAATCATATCATATATAATTTTTATAGTCACACCATTTTTTTTTGGTCCCGAAGGGTGCGATTATATGGGAGGATGACTGTATATGATAACACGTTTTCGTATATAAGTTCCACTGTTGATATAATGGTAATTTATCAACGCCCACTTTCTCAAAAAATCTTTTTATCAGCAAGAATTAAAAACAAATTATTATCACGCATAAAATCATAAACACGTTATATTTATATTTACAATGCTTACCTTGCATCAAATTTTGACTGGCAGAAAAAAAAGCATGTATAAAGGTTATCATATGATCCTAATTATGTAATGAGCAATGATCGGTGTTGCGTACTTTTATATTAAGTAATTCCATTAATGCTGGCTATTAAAAATTTTGGGATTGCTTAATAAATTTCATATCAAATATCCTACACAACAAACACCTATATTAAAGGAGTCTTCTTTTATGAATGATAAACTTGTTGTCTTGACTCAATCCCGTTCTATATAGGGATGGGGACGGTTCGTTCGGTTCCATTTCGGTTCCACGTCGGTTCCCATTAAGAAAAATATGAGCTACATGTGTCAAATTAAAGACACAAGTCGAACATATATTGATTATGAATTAAAAAAATTTTGATTGGTTAACAATCAATAGTTGGTTCATGATCATCATAATTTTGATGTTGATCATATTTTGAACCGGTTTTTAGAACCGGTTCGGAACCGGTTCGGTTCAATTTTTAAAAGCTATTAAAAATTGTTTTGACTTATAAATTTTCTTTTTTTTTATTTATTGTAAAAATATTAGTGTTTCTCTATTCCCAATAAGATTTTTGGCTCATATAAGTTCGAAACTCACGAGATTTTGATCGGTTCCAAAAACTGCTCAAAATTACGTAATCGAACCGACCCCATCCCTAGTTCTATAATTAGTAACTTATCATCCATGATGTTCATAATCGCATATTTAATGTACTGTACGTGGCGCTAATGTACGTGGCGCATGTTTTTAAAAGAAACGCGTATAAGTCATATAAAACTTATTTCGTCGTTCTAAGTAAACTTGCAGAGCGGGTGAAAATACATTCTTAGGCGTAATTTTTGGAAGTTAAAAGTAAAGTTTATTAACCCTTTTTTTTCAAGGTAAAAATTTTTTCGTAAAAACAGTCGTGGCGTATGTGCTGATCATCTGCCAAGAGTGCCAACCATTTCCTAAAATTTAAAAGTACAATATAATCGGCATAGCATGTCAGGAAACGGTCCGTAAGCGAGTCTTTGTCACACATTACAGATATGCGTTCACATAATTCATATTGTTATTTTCTTTAAACTATTTACCTAATTTTTAACATATTGTATAATGTATATGCTGTGCCTCAGGCGTCAGGTGTTGATTGACCACGTCACCAGTCGTCACCTGTATCGCATATCATACAAGTAAACTTTATATCACATAATATTACGAAAATTTTTATACTTAGTATTTATGAAATTAATATTAATTATATATTGTAAATTTATTTGAAAAACTTGTTAAGTTTCTCCATGAGTTTGAGTCTAAACAACCTGAGATTTTAGGATTACATATTAAAATTTTTGCACCAATAATACTTATCAATAAAGTCGTCTAGGGTCATTTCATTTTCCATTGTCGAAAAAAGAAAGTTATTGTTGTAAACTGTCGCTCATAATAAGAAAAAAATTAAGTTTTTCCCTTTTTTATCATTAATAATGGTAATAATAGGGGTTTTGACGCAATCTTGACCTTGTACAACATCTCTTCTGGCCATATAACGATCACATATACGCATATAGCAACGTTATTTTTTATTTCCTTAAAAGTATTCTATTAAATTCAACCGTAAATATTGTATAAAATCCTATTGAAAAATTTCAAGTTCTTTTTTCCATTGAGTTTTTATGTGAAGCTTATTTCATGTTTTTTTTAATACTATTTTTATTAATTCGGATTATTTAATTTAATAATTTTAATCAATCTCACCGAAAAATTTACATATATATTTTTTAAAACTTATTTAAAATTTTACGAATAAAGAATTTTCTTTGATTCTTTTTTTTTTTTTCTTAATTCAACAAATAATTAATCATATATGAGACTTATAATTAAATAATAATAATAATAATTTATATTATGTGAACCTCCTAGTTTTAATCTACAAATAAAAGATCTTGAAATTTTTTTTTTTTTTTGAAATATAAAAGGGTAAGTAATAAATAAAATCTTGTATTCGAATAAGTTGTACATTTGCCATTTGAATTAACTACGAGTATTCTTTTATAGGATGCTAATGGTATTTGAGATATTCGAGCTTTATCATTAAACGGATTTTGATTTGCGAAATTAGAATAGGATTTCGAATGTGAAGGAAGAGAATTAAATGTAAATTATTATGCTACGAAGGATCTATTAGAAGGTAGTTAAATGCTACGAAATTAAAAAAAAAGATTCGAATAAACGCAAGCGAACGTAAGCGAAAAGTCTATTAGATTGGAATTAAATATAATTATTATGTAAAAAAAAAGATTCGAATAAACGCAAACGAACAAGCGAAAGGTCGAATAAACGCAAACGAAGGATCTATTAGAAGGAAATTAAATGTTACGAAATTAAAAAAAAAATTCGAATAAACGTAAGCGAATGGTCTATTAGAAGGGATTAAATTTAATTATTAGGCTACGAAATTAAAATAATTCGAATAAACGTAAGCGAATGGTCTATTAGAAGGGATTAAATGTAATTATTAGGCCATGAAATTAAAAAAAAAAGATTCGAATAAACGCGAAAGGTCTATTAGAAAGGAACTAAGTATAGTGATTATTAAGTGAACAATTTTAAGGGAAATTGGTTCCATTAAATAATTGATTTTCGAATGAATAAACGTTGTATATGTTTTGTATTGGTAATTGTCTAATTTGTCTAGTAATAGGATTTAATCTAATTCTTAGTCGTCGTCGAATTCGACGCTTATGAATACGATCCTGTATATATGATGGTTGGTTCATTTTCCCTTTTTTTTTTAATTTATTTATTTTTGATATTTAGAAATTCTTTGTAAGGAGACTATAGAATGATAAAATTTCTATGTTACTTTTGAAAACGATAAGGAACAAGGCAGTTTATATAATTTCGAGAGTCTTAGATTATATTATACATGGTCACACGAACAAAAATTTCTGAAACGATGATGCATATCTCCATTCATCACATAATCCCATTATCAGAATTATTAAAAATCAATTTCAAAATAAATCGGAAATACTTTCCGTGATATAAAAAAGAGAAAGAAAATTATTTATTGTAATATAAAAAAATTGTAATTTTTTTTTAGAATCAAGATATACAATATGCTGTATAATTTTATAAAGTATTCATTATTTTTTCTCAATTTCCGTGGAATCTTTGTTTGACAACTATTTACTAAAATAAACCAAAAAAAAAACTAGTACTATTTGGATTTTTTTTGTTATCAATCATGAAATTGTTAAAATTGTACTTTAATTAGTTTATATTAGGGTTGGCAAAGTGCGTTCGATAATATTTTGAAACCGAAGAAAGAAACCATCTTGAATAAAATGTTAATATTTGTGTAAAAAGGATTAATTGGAATAAAAATTAGTTTATATTCCATGTGAGTCATATGAGTTCACTGAGTTTTTAGAAATATAACGGTAATACTCGGATCAGATTCAATTAATTTGGATTACAAGCCCGTCCCAATTTAGGGGGGCGTATTGTTTGTGGCGTACGTGTGTGCGATTTGTCTCACTAATCAAATTTAGTGATAAATACGAATTTTAATACGAATTTTGATCAATATGTCGATCAAAAAATAAGTGATAATATCGGATGCACAATGACGCACATGACGCACATGATAATTTAGTGGCTTATCACTCCGTTTATGGTTTCGAATTGGTTTTTTTTTTGGAAGGAATTGGTTTTTTTAAGTAATATATCAAAAGTTTATAATACTTAATTGGCGAAACTATTTTGTTATAAAACAAAAAATGGCAGAACAATTATTCCTATTGCACCAATTGCACCAGAAAGAATTAATGAGCTTTATATTATATAATGCCTCTATGATCATGTATAAATAGTTTATCAATAGTCTAAATAGTCTAACAAAGTATAATTTTATCACCTTTAAGGAGGTAATTTTTCATTTAATAACTGCACTTTTTTAATTTTCCACATTAATTAATTTATAGTATTGATAATGTATATAAATATTATTTTATTACGCGTATAAATAATAATATAAAATACTATTGGATAACTATAAAGTTTTTCTATACATGAATAACATGATCCTATGTAAATAATGAGTAATTCTTGCGAAATTTGTTGATCATCATATGAAATAAACGAATTTTAAACAATTGTACTGTTGTTAGGCGTGCGTACCGATGGACCTACACATTTTTTATTAGAATCACTGCAACATACTAATCTAAGAACTTTTGCAATTAACGTTAGAATTCCTGGTGCTTTTTAATTTTTTGATAACATAAAATTTATATTAATGAGCTAAATTAATATATTGTGCATCCTTTAGCTAATTTATAAAAGTAGAAACTAGACTCCCCCAGGTAAGATTTAATATTCAATTATTATATATTATCGGTTTGACGGGACCGTTCATGCAATTTTTATAATAAACTTCCGTTACTATCCAATAATTTTATTATTATGCTAATACATAGTAATATGAGATAACCGACCTAAATAACAATTAAGTAAAATCTGCATGAACTTATGAGGATAACTGATAATATATATTATATTAATTTTGTGTCACATAAGATTTTGCTGGCCCTAGTGTATACAGTATCATTTTTTGGTTTAATTACTCTGTTATTTGGTTGGTATAAAAAAAAAAAATTGACAAAAAAGTTGTGACGTAACAAGATTTTTCTTGGTCTATTTAGCAAATCAAGTTAATATTATGACGGTCATTTGACATAACTTATCATACATCCTTTCCTTAAATTATAATGAAACTATAACGTATCATTAATAATTATTAAGTCGGAAAAAAAAATGATTGATCTATCTGTACCTGAGACATTTAAATTTGTACCCTTCGGTTAAATTAACAGCCGATTAAACAGAACTTCCTTTTATGTACATATATACACAACATTCAACATTTTTCTATTGTTTCTATTGTTTCTACAATGCGAACAAGGAATAAAAACCAAAAAGAAAGAAGAGTACTAAATCAAGATCAAGTTTAGTGTTACTTGATGAGATTTTCATTTTAAGCAGCAGGTACATAAAGCCAATTTATAATTCTCTAAAAATGGCCAAGAAAAAAAAGTAAATTGTTCGTCATCATTACTTCCCAAAAGAGAGTTATTGTAAATGAGTTCAAAAAGTTTCTTTGTGTAAATCCTAATCCCATTTTCGAATTTAGCTTTATTGATAACAAATATCTTTGTATTATCTGAAACAAAGAGCCGAAACTTTTATATATATTTTCATTATTATTTTTATTTAGTCTTAAAAAACTTTATTTTTTGGGCAGTTTATTTAAAGTCTAGTAAAAGAATAGATCTTCGGTTCAATTATCTAAATTAGGTTTTTATTAATTACTGTATGTATATAAAGTATATTACATAACTGTATGTAGACTATAAATAGGACCGTGAAATGTATATATATATTTTACTATAAATACTGTTTTTATTACATTTATATTGAAGTGTAGCCTGACTCTACTGTAATTCTGTAAATATGCTGCGTCATATCCAAAAAATATTTACTATTACGTTGCCCAAATATCTGGTCCTGTGACCGACATAACTATTCCCCAACCAATAATATACTGTATATTTAATAAATTATAAATACATGCAGAAGCCAATTCATTATATTACTTGATATAGAAATTTAAAATAGAATCTATTATTTTAACCATTCTGTTTTTTATGCAACTTCTACGGATAATCGACCCTGCGGTCCACATTATATATTTAACCAATTTTATGCCTAAAGTGAATCGTTATACTATTTGTTTTTTTATTTATAAATTCAAACATTCATGAAGGTTATGTAATCGCAAGACTTTCATCGGCAAGGAAAATTCATAGTTTCAAGAAATTTTTTTTTTTGAGATAGTTAACTTTTCAATCAGCATTTAAGTCATCTACAGTACTTTTGAATTTTTCAAATGCAATTTAACACGATAATACACTGCATATTTATTTAGGTTTGATCATTCTTGTTGATCACAAACATCGTAACAATTTATTTCTTATTGGATCATCTTATTTTACACAGCGTATTTTCAAGCCAAAAAATTAATTTAATTATTTGGGTAACGTTTTAACATTATTGAATTTGCTATTTTTATCTTATGATTTTATGCAATACATGTGGAAATTGTGCTAATAAATTTGCATAGAGTATGTGGGTGTGCATTAATTATATTATTGTGAAAAAATAAATACTTGAATATTATGATTCCGCCGTTCTATGCAACCATGTTATAATGCTAAGTGTAACGTTAAACATTTAAATACCGTAAAATTCTTTTTTAAAAAAGTGAATAAATATTTTTTTCCTTAAATATTATTCATTTCAATTATTAAGTAAATTACGATCATGTCAAGAAATTCTTCAGTTTACTTCATATTATGGATACTAATACAAATATTTGTTAGAGTAAATTGTCAAATGACGCCCTTTAAGCCAAGTGTATATAATCGTCATACTGCTACACTCATTGATAATAAATTATATATTTTGGGTGGATATGATTTAAACATAAAACGCATAAATGAATTTTTTTACCTTGATGTTTCTGTACCATTTAATACTCAAGAATTATCATGGCAAGATTTATCAAATATTAATATGGTTCCACCTCATTCTTCTGCTGCGTCAGTTAAAGGTGGTCCAAATAATGATACTCTATTTTTATACGGAGGAGCTAGTACAGATCAAACAATGGCATTGGTTTATACATTTGATTCACAAAGAATTGTATGGAGTGTTCCAAAAATAGCTGGAGTTAATACAATTAGAAAACGGAGTTTAACAGGCATTATTAATAATGACGGAAGGATGTATTTATGGAGTGGGGAAACAAATACTGATTATGTAAATGAAATGCTTATTTTAGATACAATAAATCTTAATTGGAGTAAAGGAAGTATAATTAACGCCCCAACTCCAAGAATGAATTATGGTGCCGTTTTATTACCTAACAATAAGATTATTTACATAGGTAAGCGACATATTATATTTATTTAAATATATTTGTTATTTTATTAATGAACGCTTATTGTTTAGGTGGTGATAATGATGTTGCTACTACTTTTGATACTAATACTTTGAATATTGCCAAAGGAACTACTTTAACATTAAGCGAGGTATATTTTGTAAATATATAAATTTTTTTTAAAAAATAAATCTAATTAATTATGATAAATTATTTGTAGATTTATATATATGATTTGATTAATGACAATTGGGATACAAAAGTAAGTTATACAAATTATTATGATGAAAATTTTTATATTCAGTTGTGAATTAATTTCAATTATTAAATTTAGGTAACATCAGGAAAAATCCCTTCTAATAGAGCTGATTTTTCCGCTATTCTTGGTATGTAATCAAAATGAGTATGCTATGATTATTATTAGAAGATTAATATTAGTCAGTAATGGTAAATTTTCATTATATTTTCAACAGGTTTAGATGGTAAAAGAATCATAATTTTTGGAGGAATTTTTACAAATACTGGATATTTAGATACTACACTTTACGTATTAGATTTAGCTAATTATAATTGGTACATTCCAAAAATTTCTGGAAAAATCCCAAATCCTAGAGCTCTTCATAAAGCAAATGTAATTGGAAAATATATGGTTGTATCATTTGGTAAAAATAATATTTTATGATACTCTTCTATTTAATTTGATTGATAATTATTTTAACAAAACAAAAAAAATTTTGATTTATTAATAGGATATGGTTATGATAAAACAGTTGAAAGTGATATATTATTGCTTGATATTAGTAATAATGAAGAATATATATGGACAACAATATTTGATCCAAAAATGCCACCACCACCAACACTACCACCATCACCACCACCATCAACATTGCCACCATTACCACCACCTTCGCCTTCACCTTCGCCTTCACCTTCTTCATTACCACCAAATAATTCAGGCAATACAGCTGGTATAGTTGTGGGATCTTTATTGAGTGGTATTTTATTATCAGTTGGAAGTTTCTTGATATATAAATGGAATAAAAATAAACAAAAAACTATTCATGAAAATGATAATAATAATGATTACAGTCAAGAAGAAAAGGAGCTTCCTATCATAAGGGATATTCATAATTATGAACAAGATATCAATAATAATGAGCAAGAAACTATTCAAATTGATCAAATACCTAGAAATGAAAGTACGTCCAATTATGAACCAATAATAATTCCACCTCCAATAATTAATAAGAATAACTATCATAAGCAAGAAATTATTCTAACACCCGAAAATGAAAATACAACCAACCATGAACCAATAATAATTCCAGTTAATGATCATCATGGGCAAGAAATTATGCAAACGCTCCAAAATGAAAATACTAGCGATCACGAACCAACAATTCCAGCTCCAGCAGTAGTTAATACTAATAATTATAAGTATGGGCAAGAAGTAATTTCAACACCTAATAATAATAGGATATCATCACAAATTTTTAAAGATGAAATTCTTCAAGCTGTTAAAAATGAAATTGGTCAAAATTTGAAAAATGAACTCCTTCAAGCTGTTAAAAATGAAATTGGCCAAAATTTGAAAAATGAACTTCTTCAAGCTGTTAGAGAGGATAATCTTAACATCACAAGAAACAATACAAACCAAGATTAAATTACATGATAAAAATGAAAAAAAGTTCTATATATATAAGGTCTTCGATTATTATGTAGTAATAACACAGTACTTATGCTTTATCTCGCCTCTACCAAAAAAAAAAAAAAATTCACTCCATTCTTTTTTAAATTATTTCATATAAAAAAGAACTTTTTTTATTGAAAATTTTTATTATAACTTAGGCCAAATTAATGGTTCCTAATTTTAACGTTATATAGTACGTTAGTATATAAGACTATGTTTCTAATAAATTTTAATTATTTTCCACCACTATTTGGTGTCAACTGAAACTAACAAATAATACCAAATTAAATACATAATATGAAAAAAAAATTTTTTCATGAAAATGAATCATGAAAGTGGTTCTATAACTATTTAATTTGTAGAGAAATATCTTATTGGCAAAGTAACGATGGTGAAGCAATAGAAAACTTGCAAAAATCATTAATTATAAATCCGAAATAAATAATATATACTGTTTAAATACTTGGAAATAGTTACTTACCTACTGGTTAATAAAATGGATTTTTCGAATTTAGAAAAATGGCTATAATAATCCGAATCCCACTACTAGTAAAGAGTCGCTACTAACGAATCGATACTTATAAAAATAATTTTACTACAGTGATCGTACCTTGATGAAATTTTATTTTATATAAAAAAAAAATTATGTTTATTTATGTTAATAAAATATTCGTTCAATCATTTACATTAAACATTTTTTTTATTATTTTTCTTTAGAATTGTACTCCTGACTTGAAATTTGAAAATGGCAAGTTAAAGAGTTCGGGTTATATATTTTTTTTTATTGTAGGAACATCACTAACATTCACTAACATTTCTTTTCTCTTTTTTTCTTTAGGTAAAACTCAAGTCAGCTTAAGTCCATAACAAGAAATAAAAAGGAAATATAAGATAAGGAAAAATCTTAGCAATAATAAAGAAACTATAATAATAAGAAAGAACCAAGATAAGAAAGAACTGCTGCTGTAACAATAGGAAAAGAAAAGGAAACATTAATATTGCTTTAAAAAACAGTAAAAAAGTAATAAAAATAAAAAAAAATAAAAATAAAAGGAAGACCTACAGACCTACCTCAATAGTTAGAAGTCAGGACTGTCTTAACTTATTGGTTGTTCTTGTTTTTAATTCTCTCACATTTCTAAACAAGCGAAAAATATTTAGGGGAATTTTTTTGGCTTTTAAGGTATATATAACCTGAATCTCAGTAAAAGTTTTTGTTAGGTTTTTGTAAAAAAAAAATGTAAACAAATTACATTGCAGAACTTTTTATAATCGAAACCATATCGTGACTAAGTCGAAAATTTATTGCAGACCTTATAACTAAGATTTGGTCACGATATGGTTTCACATAGTCACGATAAGATTAAGTTGATCGTATGTATAAAGTTTACGCGTATTAAGGAGATCATCACCGGGTCTTGTAAAAATCGTAAGTTATGTTGTTATAGTCAAGTTTAAGTTATAGTCAAATTGTATTAAATGTATATTAAAGTTATATTATGCCGGTAGATAGTAAATAAATAGTACAATTATATTAAAGTTATAGTAAAATTTTATTTTCGAAGTTGTAAATAAGTCATTAAGTAATAGTAAAGTTCCTATTCTAAGCTAATTAACCCTAACAATCATAAACCCTAACAATCATACTTCTCATATTTCAAAAAGAAGAAATCTGACCGGAACCTGCAAAAATGTCATTAAGAGAAAGAAAAATTAATGAAATGTTTCTCAAATAAAAAATTACCCCAAATTCATACTTCCCGAAAAATGGTCCAGTCGAAACTAAGTTCAAGTCCGTTCTAAAAAACAAAGTCCAATTGTTTCAAATTCGCTGCACCTAAAGAAAATTCAAGTCCAAATCTAAAATAAAAAAATTCAAGTCAGTCAGCACTAAATTCACCACACCTAAAGAAAATAAAGCCCAAATCCATCTTTAAAAACTTACAAAAATAACATCAGCAGTTGAATCAAAGAAACCTACAAAAAGAAAATTTGAATCCAAAGCCATAGTTGAAATAAATCCACAAGAGAAAATTCTGAATCTGAATTCAAAGCCAAAGTCAAAGTCAAAGTTTGAATCAACCTACAAAAAGAAAATCAAAATCCAAACGAGAGGTCAAAGTCGAAGTTTAAAGTACTTACAAAGAGAAAATTCCAGGCTGAAATCAAAATTGAAAATTTGAAATACCTACAAAAAAGCAAATCTGAAGTCAAAGTCAAATTAAAAGTCGAGTCAACCTTTCAAAAAAAATCTGAAGTCAGAATCCCCCAAAGTTAAAGTTCAAAATGAAGAACCCACAAAATGAAAAATTCCTAAAGTTCAGGAACGAAGTGACCTAAAAAAGAAAAGAAACCCCTAGCCGAAGTTGAATTGAAACAAATTCCAGAGTCCAGGCTGAAAGTCTTAGACTAGAATCGAAATAGTTAAAGCAAATGTGTGCTTTCCGCCAGGATAAGACTTTAAGAAGTACCTACAAAAAGAAGATTCTCAAGTTAAAGCGGAAGTACCCACAAAAAGAAAAAAAATCTTAAGTTCAAACTTGAAGCGAAGTACCTTACAAAATGAAAATAAAATGAAAAACAAAAAATTAATAAACATTTCGTTGAAGAAAGTAAAAAGAAAAATAAAAAAACACTTACTTTAAATCCGCGTCCAAGCCGTACAAGACCTACAAAGGAAAAAATAAAAATATTAGTAAAACATTTTGTTAAAAATAAAAAAAAAGTAAATTTGAAGGTACAATATATTGTACCTTCGAAACAGGAGTCCAGTCGCGTCTTGGACCTACAAAAGAAAAACATGAAACCGTTAGTAAAAATGGTTCGTTAAAAAAAAGTAAAAAATTCGAAGGTATATACTACCTTTGAACTTATACCTTCGAATTTCCATATAACCAAAACCTAAAAAACAAAACTTACCAAGTTCCGGAGCTATAGTAAAGAAGCCGAAGTCCTACAAAAAAGATTTCTTTAGATTATCTCTCATATCACGTATCAGAATTGGATAGTCGAATTCTGAGGAGCTCTAAAAAATAAAGGAAAGAAAAAAGGACAAAGAAAAAGAGGGAAAAGAATAAGGGAAAGTAAAGGAATGAAGGGAAGGGAAAGAAGGGAAAGGGAAAAAGAAGGACAAAAAAAAAATACTAATTTTTTATATAGATCATTATTAATTTAGGTCGAATAGTTTAATTTTGGCCGAATATAGATAGGCCAAATTATTATAAGGTCGAATATTCATATTTCGACTAGTGTAATTCATAGCGTTATCACTTCTAAATTACTATTTCATTCATACGGAACTTTTATTATTTCATTACAAATCTATTATTATTAATTATTGGCTAATACCCTATCGACATAGCCCTTTCTATTACATCCCCTATTGGTCTACACCATTGATGCTTTTATCCTTCCAACTCGATATTAATGCATGTAACATTTGTACATTTCTTTTGTTATAATATCACCATTTTCTGCTAAGCAACTATTTTTTTTTGTAATGTATGCATTCTTATTCTCATAGTAATTCTCACCGCATCATTATTATTTAATCTATATAATACATTTTTGTGTGGAGTTCAACTTGTCTTTTCATATTTTTACTAATCTTAATCATACAGTACATAATATTATTTGACGTACAAATTGTTTATTTACCTTTTGTTTGAGTAAAAGAATATTGGAATTGTAAATTGTGATATGTCATATCACCATATTTATTTTGTTTATTTTTAAACTTGTAGTATAATGTTATGTACTTGTGTTAAATAAAATATAGCAACATATGATATTTCAAGCTGAATTGAATTTTATTAGTTAAAATTTGTGATTTTTTTCTTGATATTCTCACGGGTGGTGTTTTATTTACTAGTTAAAAAGATGGGTAAAAAGTCTATTAAAATTGGAATAAAAAGTCTATCATTATTAGTCAAAATAAGTACTATATTAAAGTTTAAAGGGCTTTATGGTACGGATATCGTGAGAGAGTCACTGGAGTATCATGATTTTCACGGCGCCAATAGGAATTATCGCTACCAATATTGGTTTATGTTCATAAAATACGATCAAAGTGAGTTTATTTATATGAAAGCATGATCTTGGACGTCTGCATAATAAGTCAATAAGCTATTTAGTTAACATATAATACAGTATTTTATTGTATAATAAAATCTTCACAATAGGCATTTTATTATGATAGATAATTATTTTATTATATGATGACACTTTTTTCTTCAATAATTCTATTGTATTTTATTATGACTTTTTTTTCATAACAGCATTTTTTATTAATATTAAAACAGCGTTTTTTATTTACAATTTTATAATTTTTTACAATGAAATTTATATAAATCGTTTTTTTATTACAATGAAATTTTATTATAATTTCATATTAATTAACTTTTATTTAATAAAAGAGATGACAAAAAACAAAAAAATATATATAAAAAAACAAAACAAAAAACTTAAGAAATCGGTAGATTCATCGTTAAATAATATCTAATACATCGAAAAAATATCTTGAATTAATTTCTTCGATGATATTTACCATCTATCAATAATTTCACGATGAACGTCTGAAATCACATCATCACGTGTTGGTTACCAAATTGACTTATAACAAATCACGGGTTTCTGCAATGTAGTCTTTAAAATTTAAAAGAGAGAAGTATAAAAACTTTTACCATTTGATTAATTAGCGTAGTCCTATTTTTTCAAATAGTTTCGACTGAAGAGTGAGGTCTCATATGGGATAATAGTTTGAGATCTATACACGCATATTAGTTATTTCGCATGAAAATGCCATCTGCTTTTATTTGTAATAGTCTTAGATTTACTACTCTTTTAGAAATAAAGTAAATAAATAAATAAATAAGTATAAAAACTTTTACCATACAATATTCGGCAGAACAGAAAAAAAATGATATTTATTTTTTTTTTTCGTTGCACAAAATTTAATTTATTTTTAGTTTATT